TGTTCTGTGTGTGTGTGTGTGTGTCTCTCTCTCTCTCTCTCTCTCTCTCTCTCTCTCTCTCTCTCTCTCTCTCTGCCTCACAGCTTTTTTCTCCTTCCATCTCTGTCTGCGTGGCTGTGTGAATGGAAATCATTTCAGGCATCACTACCCGCAGCTAATGCTGAAATGTGTTCTCTAAGGTGTCCACGGTGCATATGAATACAGTCATGCCTAAACCCAGATACCACACAGGCTGATACTCCACAAACGTGCAAACAACCTACAGGCACATAATGAAGTCCTTGCTATTTCACACACAACACAACCTTCATCATCCTCTTCTCCCCACTTAGTAATCATAAGACCTCTGGTCAGTTCTAAGACGTCTGAAGCTGTATTATAGGCATTAAAATGTCAAAGGTCAACTCAGACACAAGGCGAATGAAGGTCAGGTGCATGTCTAAGACTTTAACCTCCGTGTAATTGCCTTACGGCCCTTTAAAGGGGTCATATGATGCTGCTAAAAAGAACATTATTTTGTGTAGTTGGTGTAATGAAATGTGTTTATGCGGTTTAAAGTAAAAAAAAAAACATTATTTTCCACATACTGTACATTATTGTTTCTCCTCTATGCCCCGCCTTTTTGAAACGAGTAGATTTTTACAAAGCTCATCGGTCTGAAAAAGCGAGGTGTGCTGTGATTGGCCAGCTATCCAATGCATTGTGATTGGCCTAATACCTCAAGTGTGAGACGGAAATGTTACACCCCTCACATACTGTTGATGCCGTGTCCCGGCCAGAGCGACGAGACAGAAACATTAAAACCCATTACAAACGAGGCATTTGTTGCATCCAGTGGGGACATAATTACTGATTATAATGACTTATACTGTCTTTTTACGCGTTGCGTTGCATTGCATCACACCGCGTAAACATAAAACTCTGTCTGCATTTGTGATCAGGCGGCGGGGTCGAGAACGGCACGCCCGGCGGATCCGACGAATGAGAGGCAACCACATGTGACAGCTGGATTCCGCTTTGTCCACGGTGAAAGTTGATGTATTCCCTCAGCGACCAGCACAGATCAGCTCTAGGCATGACGAAGCGGATATCGTCCTCTTTTGGAAGACCAAACAAAGTAGTTTCGCTTTCACAACGAAGCACACAGCATCTTCACGCAAAACTACAGTGAGACAAAAAGTTACGCCTTCTTTCTTTGCGTGAACATTTGGGCGGCGTTATGCAAATCTTCCCACATAGTGAGGTAGATATGTGGGGGCGTGTTTAAACGAGACGTTTTAGGTAGGCGTGGTTGACTCTGAACTTTTATAAAGAATATCTCTTTGGATTTGAGACTTTAGTCTTTGCAACTTTACAGATCTTCTTTATGCACCAAGAGCTTGTAACACTCCAAAGAGAAAGGAAAAATTGAAATCGCATCATATGACCCCTTTAAACCATGTCACTGTACAGCTCCCATTTCCTGCGCTCCACTGGTCAGAAGTGCTTACAGCAGTTTGATGATCATAATACTTCCAGTACGCTGAGCAACAGACCTCCTGAGACAGTTTCACAAACCACAGACTTTCAGAAAACTGGTTAAGATAAACACAGAGATTTCTTCAAACTTTACCATGTTCTTGTATCTCATGCTGGGCAAAGCATCACACTGAGAAGCATAACCTCATTGGTTTCTAATCCCAGCAATGAATACCTGAGTTAAAGCAACACCTCGAGAAAAACATTGCGTAAATAGTGAATAACCCCTAAAATATTAAAATATAGAGTGTAACTTTTCTAACAAATCTGGAAAAAGAGTTTATTCTTCAATACGTTATTGATAAGTGAACTGAATCATAAGGCGAGTCCATTTTCGGTCAGATTCGAAATGAACCGGGAACCATATATTTTAGGCTTGTGCGACTTGCATCAGTCTTTTTACTACTGTAAGTTATGTCATATGACAATGAGCAAATAAAGACACATATTCAATATAGTTTCGTTGCATAAATAATAATGGTATTCTAAAAACATTTTTATAAAAATATTTATTATTACTGAACATTCAGTATTGTTCAAATATTGTTAAGGTCAGTAAGTTTAGTACTTCTTTTTAGCAAGGATGCTTTTAATTGATCGAATTGGCCATCGAAACTTTTACACTGTTACAAAAAATATATATTTAAAATAAATGCTTTCTATTCACAAAATAATTTTGGAAAAAAATATATATATCAAAGTTTACACAAAAATACTAAACAGCACAACTGTTTTCAACATTGATAATAATAAGAACCATTATTAGTAATTAAGCACCAAATATGATTGACATTGAGCACCAAATTAGCATATTTAAATGATTTCTGGAGGATTATGGGACTCTGAAATAATGTCTGCTGAAAATTGAGCTTCGTTGCAAGATTAAATTACCTAAATACCATTTTAAAATCTATTAAAATAGAAAACAGTTATTTTAAATTGTGAAAATATTTCACACTATTCCTTTTTTTAATTTTTTGATCAAATAAATGCAGGCTTGGTGAGCATAAGATACTTAAAACATTTTTTAAAATGTTGAACCGTATTGTATGGTCTCCAGTTATAAGACTTATTCGAGTATTTGGATGACATGATTCAAATAAAATCAACACAACATTGTTCCAAACAAATTACTGTTAAAAAGTTAAATCCTGCATTAATTGCCTCATCAACTGGCAAGAACTGCAGATGTAAATGAGAGATACATTTCCTATAACAAGCATGAAAGGAATTGCAATGTCACAGTATTTCGTCATTACAAGTTACAAACATAATCACACTGTTAAAGTTTTGACTGATCTCAAAGCTTCTTAATTGTCTTGATCTCCTAATAAAGCACAGGGTGACCGTATCATCTCCAACTAATGAAGCTTCTGTAAACCGAAACTTTAGACTGAAACATGCACAGTAACTCATGAGATCACCCCAGTCCTCCTCCTAACTAACACACACACACACAGAGAGAGAGAGAGAGAGACATGCACTCTTTCTCTCCATATCAATGGTGTCAGCTGAACACAGATGCCAACTGAGCGCCTGTCTCACTGATCTATTCATTACACCAACAGCACCTCACTGACTCATTATTCAAGCCTTTTAGCAGATACATTCTGGAAAACATGAATGTAATAATAAAGTCAATAAAGTGGAAAAGTCCAGTAGCAACTAAAACGCAAATTAATGTAAGGTGTTAATGGTGAAATACAAGTGAAGAATGACCTGAGAGGAGGCAATGCATCATGTCACTGTGATTGGCTGATCATGCAGTTAACAGGAAATTGCCCGTCTATAACAGATCCAAAAATAAACCTAAATGTATAAAAATGGTAAAAACGGACAGATTAAGCAGGCTTTTTTGGGTGGCAGGAGGTGCAATGGTGACAGAGAATATATACAGAGGATATATATGTAAACTAATACTATACTAACAAATATAGCCTACTATAATACTACACTAATAAATACACTATACACTCTAAAAAATGCTGGGTTAAATATAACCCAGTGCTGGGTTAAAAAGGGACAAACCCAGCTATTGGTTTGTTTTGACCCAGCTATTGGGTTGTTTTGACCAAGGCTATTGGGTTGTTTTGACCCAGCTATTGGGTTGTTTTGACCCAGGCTATTGGGTTGTTTTGACCCAGCTATTGGGTTGTTTTGACCCAGGCTATTGGGTTGTTTTGACCCAGCTATTGGGTTGTTTTGACCCAGGCTATTGGGTTGTTTTGACCCAGCTATTGGGTTGTTTTGACCCAGCTATTGGGTTGTTTTGACCCAGCTATTGGGTTGTTTTGACCCAGCTATTGGGTTGTTTTGACCCAGCTATTGGGTTGTTTTGACCCAGCTATTGGGTTGTTTTGACCCAGCTATTGGGTTGTTTTGACCCAGCTATTGGGTTGTTTTGACCCACTATTGGGTTGTTTTGACCAAGGCTATTGGGTTGTTTTGACCCAGCTATTGGGTTGTTTTGAATCAATAGCTGGGTCAAAAGAACCCAATAGCTGGGTTTGTCCCTTTTTAACCCAGCATTTTTTAGAGTGTAGTAGCCTACCCTTACATCATAAAACATTTCCACACGCTACAGATGTAGGCTCTGTGCTGTCTTTGCAATGAGAAAATAGAAACAAATGGGTTAAATTCTGTGGTTGATGGGAGAGAATGAAACGGGAAAGTTTAATCCATCAGATAGCCTAGTAAACCTCTGAAATATGCTCAAAAATAATATCACGTCGAGTAGCATTTGACTTCATTTTACCAGACATGACTTGAATGAATAAAAAAAAAACTTCACAGAGAAATGAATCGATCATGTTATTTCCCACTCCCAGATGGATTCAAGGGACTACGATGCGGATCTAGAGAGGAGATGAGTGATTAATAAAATAGTTGAATTTTGTTTGTTTGTTATTGCTCAAATGTAACAGACACGAGATCGCTCATCTAATCCGTTTCAAATGGACTTCGATGCTCAAGAGAAACAAAGATCAACTAATGACACTCAAATAGCCTACGTCCTTAGACCATAATAGCATATTATTAATTCTTCAAATCAACATAATACTGCTTACTCACGCAGTTTGTTTCAGTTATTTCCTCTCCTCATGTTCATGCAGACAGCCGTTCACAGCAACAGTTACGCGAGCGTTTTCACTCACGCGGACCGCGCGCGAAATCATTCATTGCTCCTGTCAGGAATTTACCGGACGGTCTCCGTATCACTCAAACGTTAACCCACCATGTCGGTTTAAAATCCAAGCAGTCTCTCACCGGACAGACCCACGCAGCGAACCCCGCATCAGTCTCTTTTCTCTGACGAGGACGGACCGCAAGAGCCCCGGTGGTTTTACTTCTTACTGATTCTCCTTCAGCGCATGAAGTCCAACAGCAGGTCAGATTCAGGACGGTATTCGTTAGTCCTCAAGTAACGGTAAAAAGTACCATAACAGCTCCAATGAAAGTGCAGCCCACCTCACACAAACCTCATTCAACCTTCTCTAATCTCTGCCTCCTTCCTTCTGACTCCTCTGTTTCTGTCTCTCACACTCCCTCACTTCTTCTCTCTCTCCTCTCTCTCGCTCATGAGGCAATAATCTCATTTGCTTGGTCAGTAAAGGTGAGAGCAGATCAATCTGGATGTGTGTCTGGCAGGTTCATATAATGGTGAATAATATCAAGAAAATGTCCAGGTTAAATACAAATATTTACATTTCAAAGTAATTATACTTCATGGTATTTATTTATTTGATTGTTTGTTTGCTTGTAAAATATATTTTTACAATAAATCATTGTAGTTTAGTGGCAATCATTGTTTATAAACATATAAATCAATAAATATTTTTTTTTTTAATAATTATATACCATTTTAGAATATGTTGTAATTTAATTTATTCAAAGCAATAAATGAAAGAGATCTTTTAAAACTGAAAAAGCAGTTGTGTATATTATAAATAAAGAAATAATCAGTATATCCAGACATGCTTCTCATTAAAGTAATAATCATTCAAAATAATGACAGTTTTAAAATAATGTATTTTAGATTTGGAGAGAGGTGGGTCTTAATTGTCATGCAAAAAAAAAAAATCTTAATTTCCATTCAAATAAACTATATTTTAATATTTTATACTATACTACTATTTTATACTATTATTTTAATTTCCATTCAAATAAAGTATATAATTATACTTTCTTAATATTTTCTTTTTGGTTGAAATATGCCCCAGATTCAGATTTATACTCATTCAGCCAAATACAAAGTACAAATAGGCAGTTTCACAAATACAAATACATAACACAATGCATGCTGTGAATGTGCTGAGTTGTAAATTAAATGTTTCTCATAAACATGATGCAGCCTCAGGTTGTGACACTGCAAGTGAACAGCCTGAAAGAGTCTTTTCTTTCACCTCTTTAGAAATGAATGTGGGTGGTGACAGGGAGAGACAGAGAGACGTGCAAACACTGGCTAGCTGTGCTCTTCTCTAGTAACATAACCAGTTAACATCTTAAGCGCAGCTCAGTGTAACATGAGAGGCTGCAGTCCAGTGCTCATGTTTAAAACCCCTGTAACAACACACCACCTGAATGCAGCCCACCACTGCAGAAATGTACTTACACAGAGGATCCACATGCCACAATGACAGCATTTGTGGCATAATATTGATAAACCACAAAAAAAAAATCTGCACTTGTCCCTTATTTTGTTAAAAATTAACAAAACCAATCAGGGTTACAGTGAAGCACAATGGAAGCAAACGGGGCCAGTCTATAACCATTAAAATGCTCAATGTCATATATAGCCTTAATTAAGATATGAACAATATGCATGCTATGAATTTAAGGTGAAAAAAAATGCTTACTAACATTTTGTTTATAGTGTCATATGCAATTTTACAGCTTCATCATGACAATACAATGGTATAAACACTTAAACAACTGTAAAATGATGATTTAAATAGCTTTATAGCTTAAACAATACATTAAAAAAACTATTTAGGCCTACATTTAATATTTATGCAATTGAATTGCATATAAAATTTGCATACATTTAGAAAACACATTTTTAACATAAACTAATGAGATGCACATACTGTAAGTAAGTCTTATACTGTAAATAAAACAGGTAAGAAACAGGTAAAATTTCTGCACTCAAAAATCATAGCATAGTTTATTATTAACTATTTTTATTTTATTTTATTTAAATAAAGTTTTTCAAAATGCATTTATACTAACTGGTGATTGACGATTATATAAACATTGTTTATTGTGTATTTAAAACACATTCAGATTATAATACTATTACAAAAATCTTACTCGTATCTTACCTGTTTCATTTATGTGTGACTGACTGCATCACATTAAAACTGGAATGAAAATTAACTGAAACTTTATATGTAATTCAAATATATAAATCTTAAAGGAACACTCCACTATTTTTGAAAATAGGCTCATTTTCCAGCTCCCCTAGAGTTAAACAGTTGAGTTTTACCGCTTTCGAATCCATTCAGCCGATCTCCAGGTCTGGCGGTAGCACTTTCAGCTGTAGCTTAGCATAGATCATTGAATCTGATTAGACCGTTAGCATCTCGCTCAAAAATGACCAAAGAGTTTCAATATTTTTCCTATTTAAAACTTTACTCTTCTGTAGTTACATCGTGTATGAAGACCGACGGAAAATGAAAAGTTGCGATTTTCTAGGCTGATATGGCTAGGAACTATACTCTCATTCCGGCGTAATAATCAAGGAACTTTGCTGCTGTACCATGCAGGGGTGCAGCAGGCGCAATGATATTACGCAGCGCCTGAAAATAGTCCCCAGC